GTCATTCGGGGTCGTCCGGACGAGTTCGCCGACGAGCGAGTCGATTCAAGCCAAAATCGTGTGTGATGCAGTGAGTGCGTGAAATGCGGCGTTCGCGAGTAATCGAGTCACAAAGGGTTCACCTAAGGCTGTTGATCCTATAGGAACTCAATTTCGGGCCCTCTACATGTTGGTCCTTAGCCCTTGCAACTAAAAGTTGAGTGCTTGGAACCACTCATGCGAGTTCTTCACAAAAATGAGTCAAGAAGTGGCTTGAAGTTCTACGGGAGGTGGGCTCCATTACTAGTCCGCTAGGATGGTCAACCAGGAACTCCTAAGGCTAGATTATGGGTTCTGGGAGTAGGAGACTAAGACCTCACAAAAATGAGGTCAACAGTTTGTTAATGTTATTCTCTTATAATTTTTTTCTTATTTAGAAGTTAAAACTAACTCTACTTCTCTATCAATTATTATAGATTTGTCGGAGGTTGCAAAATATTCAAGTGTTTGGGAGGCTAGAGGACTTTGTTAGACGGTTTTGTGCACCGGTCATATTTTGTTCTTTTTGTCATGTTTATGGATGATTTTATTCTTTTTGTCATATTTCCTTATGTTAGGTGTTGATCGCTTCATTTATTGTTGAGGCTGACAGTTTTGGCAATATGCATCGGATTATTTGTCAGCATGGTTAATGAATTCTGGTAAAGCTGACAGTTTTGGCAGCATTGGTTGGCTACTTAGTTGAATACTCACATTAATGAATTTATAACGGTGCATTAATGTGCATTTCTGGAGCAGTTCATTGATGTGCATTTTTGGAGCAATGCAATAATGTGCATTTCTGGACCAGTGCATTGCATTTACTCAAGTTAAATAAGGTTGATGGCTTTTGGTGATTTGTCTCTGCTTTGTAATTGTGGTGATCTATCTTTGCTTCTCGCATCTCTTAATTGCTTACTGGACAACCTTCTTTGTTCATTGCCAACTATGGTTGTTGGTGGTAATTCACTTAAATGAACTTATAGTTCATTCTTGAAGGTTTGATATAGCATAATACTTGTATTTTTTAGTTGCTTAGTTGAACTTATAGTTCATTGTTGCTTAAATGAGCTTATAGTTACTTAAATGAACTAATAGTTCATTGTTGATAAAGCATTGTTGGGATTTGTAGTTTGTTGTTTGGGGTTGGTCATGTATGTGGTGCGTTTTAATGTTGTTGCTTTTGGTGTTGGTTCTGCTTTGTGCTTGTGGTGATCGATCTCTGTTTCACGCATCTCCTAATTGTTTACTTGTCTTTTGAGCTTTGTTCATTGCCAACTGTAGTTATTAGTGGTAATTCAGTTGTTGCTTAAATGAACTTATAGTTCGTTCTTGAAGGTTTGATATAGCATAGTACTTAAAACTTTTTAGTTGCTTAATTGAACTTATAGTTCATTGTTGCTTAAATGAACTTATAGTTGCTTAAATGAACCTATAGTTCATTGTTGATAAAGCTTTGTTGGGATTTGTGGCTTGCTTTCTCTCTGTTGTTGGTTCATTCGGATGAGGCGCCAAGGTACCGGTTGGCTATTGTTTAGTTAAATGAACTTATTGTTCATTCTTAAGGGTTTGAACTGCATATGTAAGCATATAGTTCACTATATTGCTACCTGTTGGGACATATACTGCTATCCCTATACATTGGAATCTATAAGGTTTCTACTTTCTAGAGCAGTTCATCATGTTATTTCCTATTTACAAAAGCCTTCTTTTCTGGGTGGTTTTAACAGCCTTCGTTTCTTATCTGGATAAAATTAAATGTTGTTGGTTTTTTGTTACTAGATTGGTTTGTAACTTTTGTTCTGTTGTTGGTTGAGAATAGTTTTTGGGCTGCTTACGGACATCGAGGTTTGGATTTCGAATTCAATAGGAAATTGATTTTCATGTCTTGGATCTCACTCCTCTTGGCATTTTGGAGAGCAATGATGAGATCTACAACAATATCAATGAGCTCCACCAGCATACCTACACGAACGATGCTCAGCTATCTTTGTTTGGACAATTGTCTTGGTTTTACGCCTTCGACTTGTTGGTGCTCTATTTATTTCAGAATACGATATTTTTATGATGAAGCATTTCATTGAGGCCGCTATACAGTCTGAGCTCTCTTTATACCCCTGGATAGATCTTGTTTTTTTGCTTTTGTTTTACTTTGCCCTTTGATGTATTTGGCCTCTTTTCATTGAGGTTGTTGTATAGCAATAATAAAAAATGATTGCAGGTTGGTCTTTCTCAAGACCATGTTAGATGTGATGTTGATGAAGCTCAACTAGAAGGCATCAAGGCAAGCAAACAAGGTAGAAACAAAGCACTTGACACTTCTCAAAGAGCATTAGTTATAGAATAAAATAAATGTGATTGTGCTTAAAATTATGTCCAACTTTCTTGTATTATTAAGAATTTATGATTCATGTAACCTATTTATGCACTTTTTAAAGCTTATCCAATTTGTACCGTACCTCTTTTTCTTTCGGTTGTAAATTATGTTTGTAACCAAGTTATTTTATCAATTGAACATCACTTGTTTTAACTAGATTGAATTTCTATGTGTTTTTTTTTTTTTACATGTCAAATACATATATTTTGGTTTATCAGAAACCGAAAAGTTCATACATAATTAAATTTTGGTTTGACTGGATCGGTTCTAAAAAAAAAAGATTTAGTTTGGTTGTTTGGTTTCTGGATATCGATTTAGGACGGTTGGCCAAATTTTAAAACCGATCCATCCGAACAAACCAAATGCACACCCCTAGCTGGGTAAGCTGAAATTTCATTTACAATTTGCCCTGCTAACAATAAGTTGGGAACAATGTCAGCAGGGCCTATTAACCATGAAGACCCAAGATATTAATATTGATATAAATTATTAATAAAAAAAAGTACAAATAATTTAAAACTTGAGTCGAATTGATGAAACTGAGGGAAATTTTCAAAATAGATAATTAATTTCTAATTTATATGAAGGATAGATTTAAATCATTTAAAGTATGAAGTTCAGATTTAAAAGAATATATTTATAACATAAGAACACCAACATATATGTTTTTAATTGACAAGTGGCTAAGCATCTACGTTTTTGTCCATTAATGAATTTATAAGGCGAACAAGATTGGGGAGAGAGAAAAGACAGAGACAAGGGAGCATGGCAGCAATTCAGGCAAAGCATAGAAAGTGAAAAAAAAAAAACATGCCGGCAAGCAAAGTGTAACAGACGAGCACACTCACGACCAAGCAAAGAGAAACAAGCAAGCAGTAAAGCTAGCAAAGTTGATGAGCATTGTGTAAATAGGCTACATGGTTAAGGGTCATTGAGCAATGTCACACGCATAAGGGTGTGGCGTGTGCCAATCCAATGATCTTCTTTTTCCTCCTTGTTTTCAAGCAAGTACAAAACTAAGTCATAACACAATTTTTTCCTCTTCACTTCTGAGATTTCAGTAGGATTCTTGAATGTGATTACCATTATAAGCTACCTGTTTATGATGTGACTAGTTGTTAAGACAACTTCCCAAGATATTATTTTGCGTTTTTATCTTGAAAAAAAAAGCTGCTGCGACAAGGAAATAGGTGGCAGCTTTTTTTCATTCAGAAATCCTATTATGTTGAGCTTTTGTATACACGAGATAACTCATGTATCATTACCTTTCATTAAAATTAAGATGAATACGCATGTAGGTGGCCATTTTTCGTTTAGCCACCCCATCTTCTGCCATGCCATAGAAGATGTTTATTTGGAAATATGATGAATTCTGGAACATTTTTTTCCTAGTAAGGAGGACATTAAGCAAAAGACGGACGTGAAATTGATAGAGATTAATAATTTCATACTTACCATCTCAAATGGAGAGTCCAATATTCCTCTAAACAAACCTTGAAATTTATACAAGTCAAGTGACTAACAAATAAAAAAACAAGAAAACACTCCAATGTGTTGCCTGTTGACTTCCTTACTAAGCTCTGAGTAGAATTCTTCACTAAAATAGTTTATGCTTTGAAATAGACAGGTAAGTCATGAAAGCAATCACCCCAACCAAGTCTACCCTTTAATTTATAAATAAATGATGAATGTTAGTCGTTATAGCCAAATAAAACGGATGACAAGCAAAAAAATTTGAAAATTCTATATGAAACAATAATAAGTAATCTGAATTGTAAATTGATTGCATTTTTTTCTTTTTAAATTTTCAAGGAATGTTTTTGACAAATTGTTAAAACAAGCTTGTTGTACTCTGACTAGAACAATAAATGCTTGATGCATGATAGCAAAGTTTTTCTTGGTTATAAAATAAACCTTTTTAAATTAATCCAAAAAATTATCCAAAGTTATCCTAAACTAAAGGCTGTCAAAAGTTTTCAAAACAATTGCCATTATAATGAATGATAAGTATGAGAAACATATTCTTGAACAGTTATATCCTCCTTAAAGGCTTTAGGGTTTACCAACTTACTATACATATTAATCATATCAGGAAGACAAAATAGAACTTGGAAGAGACATATCTCCTGCTCAACAGCGAATGCATTAAAAAATCTAGCAGCATCAGAGGAAAAAAATAGAACATTGGTTATATTGTCCAGATCCACTAAGACCGATGTTGTTTCTCCCATGCATGATTACCAACACAAACATTAAAGCAGCATCACCATAGATGCTAAGTCACAATCATATGTACATGTAGACACTTAAATGGTTTTCCTTATTCGTCTCCTGTTTCAATGGAAAAGAATAATGAAAACAAAACAAAAATTACATAAATGAAAAGACAACTTCTGTGAAACATACTACATTAATTAACTGAAGACCGTAAATAAAGTTTAACCCGCAAGACATGGAACATATAGTACAAACAAGAGTTAAAATTTTATAATTTTAATGAGATTAAATGCTGATATAAAATGAAACCAATCAAATATTAATGAACAATGAAGAAACAAAAAAGATATGAGTACATGTGAACCAAATTCATAAATTATAAACTTACTTTCCAGAATCGCATATCAACCTTTCTTCTTCCGGAAGAAGAATGTCTTCTTTAAAAGTAGAGCTAGAACCTATTTCTGAGGAGTTAGTCTTATTCTCTGCCTTCACTTCAGCAAACTTCAATTGTGATGCCAACTTGGACAGAAGCCATTGCATGTATCCTGGGATTGGGCTAAGTGTTGCAAATACCTAGGCAAAAACTATGAAGAGCTAGAAAATTATAAATGTAAAGAAGAGTTTTACATAACAAAATATGCAATGGGAAAAAGGAAGACTCAATGATAAACGGGAACAAACGCTAGTGCAGGACCAAAAATTTTGTGTGCAATCTATCATTCAATACTTTGGCAAAAGGAAAGCTTTCTTTTTTCTTAACTGAATATTTAAATCAAAAGCTACATAAACATCACTTCTGGAAATTAGTTTCAGAAACTAGATAATCAACGAGTTTGCCTACATTAAGAAAGAAACTAGACTGGATAAGAAATTTGAAAATAAAACTACAACCCACTTGAATACAAGTAAATGCAAAGATAAACCCAAATACAACAAGAAGTTTACAGAACCCTATCAATCAAAATTGATCTACTGATTGCAAAATATAAGAAAAAGAACAAGGTGCTCATTTTGACCCCAAAGTTTTCTTATTCTCTAATCTAGTTCCTAAACTCATCAAAACTTCACTCTTTTGGGCCTTCAACATGATTGATTTAGTCCGTCAACTTAAATCTTTTGAAAAGTTGATGGGCCAAATTTGAGAATCAATAAAGTCTGGAGTCTAAATAACCATATATCCTAAATAGAGTAGGGATCAATTTGATCATTTTCTCCTTAAAATGCATTTCTCACTCTACTATAATAAATTTGGTAATTCTACATTTACCAAATTCTAAAACTGGAATGGTAGTATAATTATACATTTATGTTACACATCTGTATTTACCTGCTATTGGCATAAGAAATATTATTCAAGAAACTAAACAAAATATAATAAGGGAAATAAGTTTACTTCATTGCTCATCGGTTTATTGCATTGATTCTTCTATTAGATATAGGGGTTTTTTTATAGAATAATAGATGAAGTATCATCACATATAACAAATTATCAAATATAAGCTAAATTATGACACTAGTTGTTGACCTCCCTCCACCTAATCCACCTTGTCCCTGTACCCAACCTGGCCTTCCCAACTGCAATTACCACCTCTTGCTCAAGTTCTAGACCATGGACCTCACCTCTCACTCCCAAAAGACTGCATCAGCACTTGTATTGCTAAGACTGAGTCCTTGCCACTACAACCAAGCCACGACCACATCTGCCTACACATGATTTGCCTCCCATGCCTACTTGTGCCTTTTCATTTGCACCTTTCCTGCCTGAATGCACCCTACACTTGATCCTCACCCACAGTCAAATGTGTTCACAACAACATCTCGTTGTTACTCCCCCACTGCATAGGACTCAATTTTTCAAGCCTCCCCCACACTCAATGATCAAAGTCAAAAACCCTTTGATTCTATAACCATCTCTTCTCCACATTGTCACGTTTTCTTAATTTCATCTAAATGATTTGAACCGTTCCACCATCCATTACACAATTAAATTCAATAGTATCAAATCCCTCCTGCGACAGAAGACTTCACATTTCAAGTCAGCTATCATAATAAACTCCAACATACTAATCGATCTTCACTCATTTTGATATTTTTAATATTTTGGGGTTAAACATTTGACTACAGCATTCTCACCTAATTACTCAATATTATTGAATCTGTCAATGCTTTGACCATCTTGACTGTCAAGCGAAACTTTCTTCATTCACCAATTTTTAAAAATGCAATGTTTCTCGTGTCAACACCATTTATTATGATATTTCTTTTTTCATTTCAAAAACAAAATTTGCGCATCCAAAAATACTATAATACATCATGAGATAAATGTAATGAACTTCTAAAATGCAAAATATTCAATACTGATTAACCATTTGACAAAAAACATAATGAGTTTCTTGTTGCCAGATTATTCTCTGTACTTCATCCCTCGCCAAAATATGTATAATTTCATATGATGATTGATTCTATAATCCATGTTACAAATGCTCTCTCTTGAGTTCTTATTAGTTAGTGAGCTTTTGAATTCCTCTTTTGATTTCTAATCAATCCACCCTCGTTTCAGGAAATCATGGTGGTTATGGCCGCAGTGGTCAGACTAAAAGTGCTCATGGCCAAGAGGAAAGGATCTTCGCACACTTGCTCTACAAACATACTAATCATCCAATGGAACACTGTAGGGAAAAATTTGGCTTGCAAATCGGTATGCCACTGGCCCTTATATAGCTGCTGCTAACATTTCCACTCCCATCACTACTTTAAGTCCAACCACTCTATCTCGTGGGATTACAATCACCCAGTTTAACACTTTTGCACCTCTATATTTGCACCTCATACCATTTCCACTTCTAACACTGCCATTGCTGGTATCAGCCCGAATGTAAAAAGTGGAGGGTTGCGTTAGGTAATCGACAGCCAGCGTAAAACTTGTCGAACAAAATCATGACATGAATCATTTTGGCCTTCAAAAGAGAAGCATAATACTAAGATAAGTGTTGCCGAGATGAAAATGACTAGGTGGATGAGTGGCTTTACACTTAAAGACAAAATGTGAAATGATAATATCCATGATAGGGTTGGTGTAGCTCCTGTGATGGACAAAATTAGAGAAAGTCGTCTTAGATGGTTTGGTCACATTAAGCGTCGAGCATCTGATGATCCGATTAGGAGAGTAGATATTTTAGATTCGACTTATGTTAAGAAAGGCAGAGGTAGACCTAGGAAAACTTGGGCTTATTGTATAAAAAATGATCTTAATTTATTAGAACTAAATGAAAATATGACTCTAAATAGGACGCAATGGAGAAAAAGGATTTATGTAGCCGACCCCACGTAGTGGGATTAAGGCTTTGTTGTTGTTGTTGTTGTTGTTGTTGTTGTTGTTGTTGTTGTTGTTGTTGTTGTTGTTGTTGTTGTTGTTGTTGTTGTTGTTGTATACCATTTCCACTTCTGGCTCTACAATTGCTACTTGTTCTAGTATATGTTGGATTCAGTACTTCACTGCTTCTTCATATCAAATACGTGTGCAATAATTGTTCGCTTTCCTTGGTATGCCATCTCTATTGCTAGTCATTAGTGATGGTTTCCCATTCCTAAGTTTGGAAATGATATGTAAATCCCTCCAAGGACTTATATCGTTTAAATATTTCATAAGTTCCCCAAATCAGGTTAATTTTAAACATTTGCATTCGTGCTATACTCGTAATTGTAATCAAAGGCATGCTTTAAAGACCGCTTTGAGCACAAAGCACAGCAAAACAGCAAAGGGCTGCTTCACATCAAAGTTGGGGGCCAACTGTGTGTGAAGTGTGCGATTCACGAAGTTAGTGATTAGCGATGCAGAGCGTGAGCTGAAACGGAGTAGGTTTACCAAAAAAAGGGCAGAACTGATTTAGTGAGCAAAAGTGAAGCCAATTTTTAGTTAACCTTAATATATAAAACCAATCAAATAGTTTATTCCTAACATCAAACTAGCAAAGCAGAGGAGCCCATGAGAAGTAGAAGAAGGGTTGATCGCGCGAGCTTCTTCCAGTGGACCGAGCCTGCCAGCTTCAATGTAGAGCTTGACCTCCATCTAAGCAGAGATCAACCTCCATCGACACAACAGCAGCTGCATGTTCGACATCCACAAATTTCGCCGCATAAAGACCTCTTGTGAGGATGACATTTTTAAGGGTTTCATGAGAATATAGTATTTATGCATTAAGATTAAAAATAAATACCACTCACTTAAAATTTTAAAAGATGACAATATTTGATATTTTTAAATGATTTTTTAATAATTCAAGAAACACTAAATAAGATAAATAAGAACAAATGAGATGGCACCCAGCTTGAGCATGTTCTTTAGTAAGCCTTTCCAGCTTTAGATACCTGTGTGTGACCTGCTCAACCGTGCCTCAAACCTTGGATAAAGAAGCTGAAGCATTAATGGTACAAACATGTTTCACTATATACTTCAAAAAAGTTTCAAGCGTTCCTCACCACTATCATGTCAAACTATGAAAACCTGAGCCTTGTGCTAACGAGAAATAGTGTTTAAACTTGTGTTATTCGACCAGTAAATAATTTCATAACATTCCTCTGCAACATCTTTGGTCAATTGCAATTCTTTCAACCATTAATGTCACAGGTATCATGGCACCCCAAAATGCAATTATTAGCATATCATATTCTGGAAAATAAATATAAGCTATCACTAAAACAAATAAGAATTGAAACACACCAGGATATTTGGCATGTCCCTCCTAACTAGCTCAATTACACGTTTTATAAGAAATTTTCCAAGGTTGATCCCTGATAAGCCTGGCTGTCAAAAGGAAACCTCAAATTAGAGAAAAGAATGTATAAGCAAATTAACTGCACCGTTACAAGGAATCTCGAAGTAAGAATTGGTGGCATGAACATAAATTTATAATGATGCATGAGACAATAAAATATGAAACTTTTAATGGATGCAGCATTAAAATTGAGAAAAAGATATTTGATAGAGAAAAAATAAGATATTTGATAAAACAATGTGAAGATGGTTGCAATTTATTTTAAAATAAGAAATAGATGCATTACAACAAGAAATATGCTCTATCTCAACAAAATACAGATAATGGTTATAACTAGGATTGCCGATATAAAAATTGTAAAATAAGTGATAAGAGGGTGCATGCAACTGATGAAGCTCCAAACAAGTGGAATCTAAGGGAAGTAGTTAATGTATCTGGGCTTAAACCTGCAGTAGTCAGGTGGTTCCCACCATAATTCTACACCATGCCTCTAGAGCACGATGGCATGAAGACATAAATGGTGCACTAACCGAGGCACAGCTAGATTCTTTTCAGTGGGGACACAAAGCAATAATTTCAAAAATGCCCTCAACTTTTTCATTTGGTCTTATTTATACATACATACACATATATATATAAAGAGATATATGTGTATGTATGTATAAATGTGTATGTATGTATGTATATATACATACATATATATTTGTGTGTGTGTGTGTGTATAAATATATATATGTGTATGCATGTATTAATATAAATTTTCATTATCTAATATATACACACACACACACACACACACAGATATACATACATACACATATATCTCTATATATATATGTGTATGTATATATATATATATATATATATAGAGATATATATATATGTATGTATGTATCTTATTAATTTAATGTAAAAATTAGACATATGTTCTAGCAATAAATTATTAAAAATGAGCATTAATTTTACTTTCTGTATTCAAGTTTTTATGTGTTGAACCTATTATGTAATCATTTAATTTTCAATACTATTAAATATGTTCTCTTCAACATATACAATTGAATATTTTTTAATCTAATATACTAAGGATGTATGATTATTTTTTATATGCATATGCTACATATATATTTATTTACAATGATATTTAATAATCATAAATAAATTTTTTTTTTCAAAATTTGAAGCCCCGGTTAGGGGTGAGTTTAGAAGAAAATGTTGTTCAAAAAAATTTAACAGTGTGTGCGGGCGCGCGCACATGTCTTGTTGTTGTTCAAAGAGAAAATGTATTGTAACGAATCTTGCCTAAAAAACAACACAGCTCACAAAAAAAAAAAAGACGAACTGTAGTAAGCCTTTTATAAAATAGCACAACAACCCAAAGAAAAATACAGTATGCATTGTCTGAAAAGCAGCAGCTAACCAAGGATAAAATGAACCTATAGCAGGTCTTACGAGACAACGGCCAGACTACAAATATTGAAAAGTGCTTTATATTAAAAGTGATAAATTTAATTTAATGGATCAGGCCAGTGAGGGCAAGGGCCTCAGTGTCCTCGTTGTAGCTCCGCCCATGTGTATGGCACTCTTATTATTAGGTCGTTTAATTCAGCTTCATAAATTTCATGATACGCACCGCAAGAAAACTCAAATTGTTCAAAGAGTTTGTTTCACAGTTGACAAAGGAACGGGATTAGATGTGCTCTAAAAATTAAAAAAAAATCATTATTTCATTATCAGAATAAAAAAAGATCACATAGAATAGAAATAAAATAATTTAACTGAGATGATCATGACAAAAGAAAGCATTATTGTTTAGTGAGTGAGGCAACAAGTAAATCCAATAACTATATTTTGACAACTGAGGGAATTGACCAACATATAACTGCTCATTTGGCACATATGATGCCTAGACATAGGCAAGTATTTATTTTTTGTGGTGAGTAATATTTTCGTACTTCTGAAGTTTTATTTTCTATTTTGTATTTTCATTATTTTCACAATAGATTCTCAGATAAAAAAGAAGCTTCTCGAGCATTTCATCAACCTATGAATCAATCAGCTTGTTTCCATCAATATGTATATTGAAATTATCTTTCGCAAGTGCACAAGCAACTAGTCAAAATTTGTTAATCTATGATAATATGACAAATTTAACCTATGAAGGTTTGATAACTATACTTTTTTTGTCATGAACTCTATAATACAAATATATGACGCCACAAGTCAATCAATGACCTCAATAAATACCTCAAATTTCATTAATGTGCGTAATAACTAAGCTTTCCTATGAATGATTGCCACAGAGCAACAGCTCATCATACAGATTAAAATTCCATTAAGGAATTGATGTCATTAGCTGTGAAAAAGAAAAAAAAATAGCATATAGGTCTTATTCTAGCCAAATCCTGACTTACTTGACTTGATGATATAGAGTAAAATAATGCACAGGTTGCGTCATCCTCAGGAAACGGAGGATCATCCCACAAGACCTCCTAATGTCAACAAAAAAGAAAGAAAAATGACCAATCTCAACAATTAGTGATTAACACATTTAAAACACAAATTTGAGACTGTTAGACTAACCTGAATGGCCTTGGCAACTTCCTTTAAAAGAGCCACTTCAATAAAAATAAGCGGCTCGCCTAATGAATAGATATATTGCAGCAACATTAGCATGAGACTTGTAAATCATACTAAATAACATGTTTAGACATTAGGAGCTCTTCTCAAAATCTAGATTATGCTATAACCTAAGGGCCCGTTTGGCATCAATTTTATCTTTTATTTTAAAAAATGTGTTTGTTTAGTATATTTTTTTCATGTTTCTATTTTTTGTTTCTAAAAAAAATCAACTAGGGTTTAAAAACACTAAAAACAGTCTTTGCAACCAAACATATTTTATTTCAAACTAAAACATTAAAAAAAATGAAAATGAAAAATAAAAAACAAAAGTGGTCCCAAACAGCCCATAAGTGAACAATTACATAAAATAAAGAGAACTATTATGTTTATAATATTGAGATATGGAAGTAAGAGAACAGCTCGCTTTTATTCTGCATAAAAAACAATTAATCAGTTAGAATGTAGTATCGGCTTAGGTTTTCATCTAACCTGGTATTGCTGGATGAAAGTATCCAAAGCAACGACGATTAGTATTCAGCCGCCTTCTCAAATCTTGCAGGCTTCTAATGGGATGCACAGCCTAATTATAATTTAAGAATCAATTAGACCAAGTTTGTGATAGGAAATAACTGATTGTCAGAAGCTTCAAGCATAAAATTCAGATATGACCAACCTCATATGCTACAATTTTCTCCAGTAAGGATGCAGGATCATCCCATGTAATCTGATGAAGGTGCAAAGCTGCAGGGCTCAGCCAGGTTATGAGTTTTTCCTTTAAATATGAGTCTAATGCTCTCAATGATGGCATATTCTCTTTCCTATATTAAAATTACTTACATCATAAGAAATATATGTGTTCAATCAGATGAAACTACTACATAAAAACCTATAAAACCTTGAAAAAGACAGTATTCTTTGTCAAGCATAACCAACTAGATTAACAAGTTCTGGGATTTGCCTACTCGCAGGCATGTTCATGTTAATTATCTTATTCCAAGATAGAAAGGGGGTGCATAATACAATGAGACTCGCACTAATGCAAGGTTCCGGGGGTTAATTAACCGTACCCTAGAAAAAGAGAGTTTTTTTTTTTAATGATTATGTCCTTTATTTGTAATACAGATTAAGATTCTATTAAGATAGCAAATTAGTGCATAAATAAGCTAATATAAAAGGCAAATCATCATGAAATAGCTATGTATCTGTTTCGAAATAAAGGATATTGACATACTTATATAGCTGGGATTGGGCTAATAATGATATGAAATACCAACCTAAGCAAGCCACTATTTTTTGAAGTCATGCATCCTTTGGCTAAATAAAAAAGGGCCATTTACATACGGAGCACACAATTCTTATCTATCAACATATTTGACACCTAAACTTTCATATTTGCACACATAAAACTCAAATCTTTAATATCACATCAAAAATAGCATTGTTATCACTTTTTAAAAGTGAAATAAATATATTCATGCACAAGTTTAAAGCACCAAAGTGTGAAGTTTAAATGTGAGATACATAAATACATAAGAATTGTGTGCTAGGTATGTAAATTTCAAATAAAAAATGGCAATTATCTAAGTTAAATGCAATGCCAGTATCATATGGAATTATCATATTGATATATTCCCTTAGAAATCAAGCACGGTATGAGAACTCTTACTCAATCACTAATAGCAGGTCAGCACGAAGAGCAGCCAATATCTTTAGCCCACCGGTAAATGCATTCAGCCTCTCAAAGAAAACATCATACATCGGCTTAAGAGCAATGCGAATGTTCCGCTCCATCCTATAACAGGAAGCCAAAAATACCTCATCTCGGACGCCACCTCCTGAAGGTTCATTGTCGGTAACTGCACAAGATCAACATATCCCACTTAAAATCCATCGAGTCTTCGAGAACAACTAATGGCGGAAAAAAAAACAAAAGAAAGAAAGGAAACACCATTACCCTCCGGGTCTCGAGGGAATCCTGAGTTCAGATACTGCTCCATCAGCTCACGAACTCTCGACCGGTTCACATCGTATTCTCTCGCCAGAACAAGCAGCAGTTCCCTTCGACCTTCCTGCGGCAGGCTCAAATAACCCTACATCCAAAACTAGACTTCAGAAAAAACATCGAGCTACTTATCCTTTTCTTTCACATGAACGGATGATAAACCGTGGAGAATTCTTCGAGGTTGGCGTCCACGGACTCGATCTTATCGGTGGGGATTGTAATGGAGGCATGCATCCACTCCTTGACATCAGCCAATGTAGCCCTGCGCGAGCAAGAACTCTCATCAAAGTTGTCGGCGGGGGAGGCATCCTGCGATCAGCCAGGAGAAGCGAATCGGAGAGGACTCCAGAATTTGATGACTCGAATCAGGGATTTGGGAAGAAGAGGCTTACATTTGTAGCGGGAAATCGAGAAGTGGGTGCGAGCTGCGGGATACGGTTGGCTGCGGCGCTCATCGGAGTCTTCAACAGCACGGCAAGGGCCTTTCGATTCCTGCTCATTCCCTCGCAGTCACCGATGGCGCAGGAAGGGAAAGCAAGGCGTGCGGGCAGATCGTAACACGGAAATGAGGCATTTACATGCAATATCAGTATAGCACACAATTCTTATGTAATTACACATCTCACACCTAAGCTTGAATATTTACGTTTGTGTCATCCAAATTTCTCATATCACGTCTAACTTCTCTTTACTTCAATTTTTAGAAATAAAATGCACATTTTCATTAATAGATAGGATGCCATTTAGGTAAAAATCAAGTTTAGGTATTAGATATGTAAATACATAATTTAAGTGGTATTTATGTAAATATTTCTTTAATTTTTAGATGTATAACTTAAAAAGTGAAATATATTTTTATCATGTATAATTAAAATGATATAAATATAAAAAATCAAGATTTGGGTGGTATAATTTTAAATACATTAGAAATGTGTGGTATGCATGAAAATTTTTCATATATATTTACATAGAAGGAGAAGCTAAGACCTACTATAGCCGTTGCCATATATTTAGAATTCATAATTTTAAAAATAAACTGTTAATTGAATATTGATGTGTTTAAAATAATTTAAAAGTTTTAACTGGTGGACGACACATAAGCATATATTTTGGCTTGGAAATCTTAATTTACTTAGTTTTGGTAGGTACCACAAATCTCTAAATGGTTGTTTATTCTATTGTTGCCATATGATTGCTTAATTATAATCGACACTAGCCTATCCTTTGAGGTTGTTTGTTCATCCCAATATAATATGGTTCTCTCCTTAAAATATTTACTCATTTTACAAGTTTAGGAGTTGCTCTTTTGGAATGTATTTGGAAGTCATAAAATGTAATTGCACTCTTTGTAGCAATTGACTATATTACTTTTACAAATTTAGTTCACTTATCTAGCCTCTTTGTGTGATTGACCTTTGTATGGCTCTCTTTTTTATCTATAAGAATAATTATTAGAACCTCCAATATCCATGCATGTGTGTGTATGTGTGCGCTAATTTTGAGAAATTAATTTATATTTTGTTGGCTTTAAAAAGACTGTAATTAATATTAGGAGTGGTGTGTTGATTATGTTATTGTAGCTTATTTAATTAGAAAAATAGATTTATTTGTATGTTTCCTTAGGTTCAACTCTTGAGCTTATTCATTGGGACTAGATGTATAAATTCAATATCTCAAACTTCTTGAGCCATTTCATGTTATGAAATGGCTTCCAAGTTGTTGACCAAACAGAATAGCTCGGCACTTAGGTTCGAGACTATTTGTTTGTTCTAATTATAATTTGACTAAATCTGAGCTTGTCATTCAAGGTTGATCCTTGGACTTATTGAGCTTTAGATTTGGTGAAAAAACATGATTTATAAAGTTTATCAAATTTATAAGGCAATGATACATGTGTATCGGGAATGACTGACATAAATATTGAGAGGATATAAAGTTCCACAAGACATAGATGTACAACTAATGAGAGCCCACCATCAGAAGATCACAAAGTCCATTTATCTAATCGGACGTGATAGTATGAACCAAAGTTGACTAGATGCAGCCATCCGAGCCAAAGCCGACAAAACTAGAGACGTTCAAGTGTCTCAGGCACGAACCCATCAAACCAATACATGATAGATAAATATGCAAGTCGGCTAAAGTTTATTGCAGCCGACAATCAACAATTCGATAGACCAAATTCGAGGGAAGACTTTGCTCCTCGTTGTCATCAATCTTCCCACAAAACCTCAATGGCACCTTATCAGGATCAATAAATAAATATGTCATGAGAAGTTTGTGTAGGGGAGTGAGTTGCATCTTGGGTTACGATGATTCACCCGATTAATTTTTTTGTTTGTTTAGTGTCTAAAATCATGAATGTTGGCCTTTAAGAGAAGCATAAAAATAAGTTAATTATTGTCGAGATTAGAATTATTAGGTGGATGAGTGGCTTTACACTTAGATTTACACTTAGAGACAAAATGTTGTGAAATGATTATATATGTGATAGGGTTGGTGTAGCTCCTGTGACAGACAAAATTAGAGAAAGTCATCTTAGATGGTTTGGTCACATTAAATATCGACCATCTGATGATCCGATTAGGAAAGTAGATGTTTTAGATTCGACTTGTGTTAAGAAAGGCAGAGGTAGACCTAGGAAGACTTTAGCTTATTGTATTAAAAATGATCTTAATTTACTAGAACTAAATGAAAATATGACTCTAAATAGGACGCAATGGAGAAAAAAAATCATGTAGCCGACCCCACGTAGTGGGAATAAAGCTTTGTTGTTGTTGTTGTTGTTGTTGTTAGCGTCTAAAATCCTTACCAATTTAAATTTTCAGAAGATTATGGAATAAACCAGTCAATCAGTTTTTGTCATAAAATCAACCCATCTATTGACTCTATCATGTTCCAAATTTGACTAGAATAATTATTACGTCTTATTTAAATCAATTGTGTGGGTCGGGATGAAGTCAAATAGGTTGAAAGTGCGTCAATTTTGGCTTAGTTTTTTCTAACTTGTTAGATATTCAAGTCGGGTTTAAGTCAAATAGCTTTTTTGAGTTATATTTATGCTAAATCCAAATATGATTAGTGAACCCAATTTGACATTACCACGCTCCTTTTTTGCTTCCTTCATTTTGATCTATTCTATTGTTTTGCTCTACATGCAGTCTTTCTTCAAAATTTATCGCATCGCCCGCTTCTATAAAAAAAAAGAGGATTAGATCAAAGGAAAAAGAAAGATGAAGAAAAATAGAATATAACATACAAACGAATAAAAAAGATAAATAAACTCTTATATGATGATATATTGTGAAATGAATTAGAAACAAATGTTTAAATAAGTTGCACAAACTCGTCTCAAACAAACTTATAGAAATTACCAATAATAATCATCCGCATATAAATAGAGAATCAAATTTTATTTTTATTGTAGACACGCAAACACTCCGAGAGGAATGTGTTTCAGTGATTAATTTTATATTAAGGAATACTAAACAAAACCCTCAACAAATTAAATTAACTTGTGTTCAACAATAATTTCAACATGATCATTAGGAGATAATATTATCATTCTAGTAGGGGTTATCTCATGCGTCAAAGTTAAATCAAGTCATTAAAGGGTGAATCAATGTATCTCAAAAATATGTTGTCTCTTAACTATTAAGATCTACTAATTATGAGGGTCCACCAGACTATCAAAATAATATATCATAGAAATATGAATGCACTCTTCGAGATGAGATAAAAATAACACAAAATAATATCTTTAATCTTTAATATTCTCAGTTGACTTGCAAGAAGTGTGATTAATCATAAGAGCTTGTGCACATAAAAAATTAGCACCTTGCACTGCCTAAGTTCACTTTAATGTTTCATATAGGTAAAAAAAATTCAACAAATTTTCTCTCTCTCTCTCATTTGTTTTGCAATTAATTCTCATAAAAAAAAATCTAATATATTCTCTCTAAACACTTTGGAGTATTTAAAACTCACACATCTTTAGCAATCTAAATATGACTTTTTTTATCTCCATCTTTGGATGTTTGTTCAACTCTTTATGTTTGCATTCCATGATACATCATTATACATTCTCTCTGTTCATTATAGATCTTTCTCATCCATATAACAAAGGCATTTCATTTTTAAAACCAAAGCTATATCATTGTTTAAGATTACATAAAGCTTAATTTCTAGTTGAAACCCTTATAGTTTTACAGCAGCCTAGCGATGGGATTTAAACTTCTATACAAGTGTGTCCTCTATTTTTTATGATAAAAAAGTGGGAAAGCAAGTCTCTTTGATACTAATATGATGATGCTAAATGGGAACTTTCATGAGTTATTTTCTATAATGAATAATTATTAATGGAGTTGAAACATTGACACCGAGCTATTCATCAATAAATATTCTGCATGGAAGGGTGGTGGCCTAAGGAAAAGTATTATGAAGTGGTGTTGTCGATGTTGATTATAAACATGAATATAGTGTTTTAAAATATCAATCATAACATAAGAATATACTAATTTATATACATTTTTTCCAATAATTACACCATCATGATTAAAGAATCCCTTGGTTGGAATCAAATATAAACATCAAATCATGAATGATGCTTAAAAAAGCAACCAAGTGGTAGAGATTTCTATGAGTTTAAAATAATAATTAGATTTGATACTTTCGTCAACCTAAGGTGTCTTAACAAGCATATCAAAAAAATATGAATTGGAAAACATATTCATCAAATAATAATAATTTTCTTGTGTGATTTTCTTAGTAAGCAAAATAAATTATTTGGAGTTGGCAAGGACGACAATGACATAATTCTACTAGTGGTAATCGTAGAGAACGGGGTTATAGCAAGAATGTTTAACAGAAGAGAGAATGGAGAATAACATAGTAAATTTAAGGGTTTCTACAATATTGAATTATATTCATTATAGGATAATAAGATATTCAAAAGACAAAGGAAGAAAATGAAGTGATTTCAAGCTATTTTTATTAAAAATACTTTCTTTATTACATTACGAGTTTAGTTCTCTATAGTAAAAAATAACCTCAGCTAAATATGACAATAATCATTACATTAACATTTGCAATAAGGATGACATCGAAGTTGAAGATGACATATGGTGTCACCTGTCATTAAGGTAAATGAGTTTTAAAAACATGAATTCATGCTAATTTTAGCATCTTAGTATGAGAGGGGCATTTAATGTTTATCTATTTATGTTGCATGTAATATGAAGATTATAGGCAGTTGTAAGACTAGGAAGGAGTAATTTTCTACATGTTAATCGTTTGATGGATGGAAATATGCCAACGATAAGAAGAATAAAAGTGATGTAGCTAAGTATTGCTAGCATGTTCACTTGTCATTAGGATGTGAGAAGCACGATAGAGGGTGAATGTAGTTTGGAAAATATCCATAACAAAACAGTATTTTGTTTTGAAGAGTTGGCATGCAAAATCCCTTGAATTTTTAACTATGACATTGACTGTTGCCATTGAATCACAAGAATAATGATTGAATTTTTATAAACTTGAGGATGATTTTTATGTGGAGTGTAAGGAGGATGATTATATATAAAGTGGAAG